CCTTTCCATCTGTCTGACCTGGAGGTGGTCTTGGATTCTGCTCTGCAAGAAGCTTTAAGGAAAATAAAATTGAGATGGTTAACAAAACTTGAATGTTCAACACACAACCCCTTTTTAAGAAACAGAAGTTCAAAATCTGGGACCTTCCAGCTGGGCTGAGTACAGCTGTTGTACCCTGAGTCCCTGCCATCCCTTTGAAACAAAAAACAAAGCAGCAGTAATAAAAATAAAATTTGTACTTAAAAAAAATGTTGGTCCCTTCCCACTCATGTTTATGTATAAACCAAACACCAGCAAAACAAACTGGTGGTTAAATTGGCATTTTAGTTATGAGCCATTGCATTAACCAAACAAGCTAGGGGACACCCACAGGCATCTCTTATTTTTATGGTCCTGCATGGCAGGAAAGCCCAGGTAGGTGTCCAGGTATCTTACCACTCACAGAGAGGCCTGCAATCTTCAGTATTTCCACAGAGATTCATCATCATAAAAATCACAAGGAAGTTTAGAAACTTCAAGCAGAGAATTTTCTTCTAAGCTCAAGCTTCAAAACATTTTAGAGAGAAATAAAAACTCTAAAGCATGACACTCTGACTGGTTGATGCTATTTTAAACTACCACTTCCCACTCTGGTCATTTAACCCAGTTAATCCTCATGTCCCCATACAAGCCCTTCTCTTTCAGGAGAGATATGAATGGGTCAATGCTTATTTGAAACTTGTTCTTTCCAAGGCTGCCTGTCTTTCTGCAAGCCGCTGGGAGAGGGGATTTCCTAACTGACTTGGGAAAATGTAGCTCAAGCTGATGATACCACGTTGCACATGAGTCTCTGAGGTTAGCTAAGCAAGTCTGACAACCTACCGTCATCCACAGCTACACTGTGAAAACAGCTTCTTGAAATCAAATGCATAGACTGCAAGGCCTGGCCAGCAGCATTCTGGGGAGGCACCTGTGTCAAGGCAGAGACAAGAAGAGACGGACGGAGGAGTATGCAGGGGAAGTGGGTCTGTGGTTTTAACTGGCGTAACCAGTCCCATTTGGGTTAAGAAGTCAATGGAAAAATGATCCTTCCTCAGTTACTTTTATTTTGTTTTTGTTAAAATTTCTTTTGGAAAAATTAAACATCTGGACCTCTTCATGGAAATAGTTGTTATGTTCACTGGAAAAAGATTATGTATTTTTTTCATAGCGTTTGAATCAAGTTGCTCAGGGAAGATCTGAGGCTGCGGAAAGCCCCGACGCAGGGTGGCTGCTTCCCTGGCTTTCCAGCATTTTGAAAACAAATCTGCTGAGACCATCCTGGGAAACTGGACTAACAAAGCATTTGTCTCAGCCTTGAGAGGCAGCATTTGACACTTGTGTTAACAAGAAGGCTCAGCGATGCCCAGCGAAGACACAAGTCCCCCTTCCACAGGCAGGGAAATCCCTCTTCGGTTTAAGTTGGTTGTGTTGCTAGCTGCTCGCACAATATCTTTTCCCTGAAGACAATGTTTCATATTTCAGAAAGGGTAAGGAAAGCAATGTAACTGTGCTACTTTTTCAATCAGTATCTTTCCTCAGTGGGGCACATTTCTAAAGGGAGGCATGTCTGGAGAGAACATGACATCCTCTCACCACTATTATTTTTAAAAAGACATTGTGGAAGCAGGTGTTCATTTTATACTCTATGGGAACAGCCCTCTGTCATTCTGTGTTCTGGCTTTAAGACGAAGAGGTGCCCTTTAGAAACTCTCCTAAAGGACACGCAGTGTTTTCCTTGATTTGGGCAGGTGTTCTGCACCCCGTCAGATCCAGTCTGTACGTTTCGTGCAAGCTTACCAACTCTGCAGCCCACTTCAAGAGCCTCAGACATCAGGCCTCCACCAGACTTGCAGAGCTGTTCTTGGAGACAGAAGTCGCGCTCCCTCCTCTGAGAGCTCCTCTCACAAGGGTTTTACACAGTGCATACCACTATTCCCCTCAGCGTCAGCTTTGTTTCCTGAGACTTCATGTACCCAAGGTCAACCAGGGTTCCAAAATACTGAATGGAAAATTACAGAAATGACCAATTCCAAAGTTTGAAGCTGCATGCTGTTCTAAGGAAGCATGTTGAAATCTTGCTTTGTGCTCTCTTTGTCCTTTGTGTCTGGACCGTGCACCCTTCCCACCCTGACGCACAGTAGCTGTCCTGGTTACCAGCTCCACTGTGGTGGAATCCATCTTTCTATCCAGCCCTGATTTCACTTAATAATGGCCGTGGAATGCAAGAGTAGCGATTCAGATGTGCCAGAGGAAGGTGGCACAGTAAAAAGTCCACCTTAAGTGACACAGTAAAAAGTTTTGACTTAATAAATAATGAAAAAGAAATTGTATGCTGGGCTTGCTAAGATCTGCGGTAAGAACAAGTCTATTTGTAGAATTGTGAAGAGAAATGAAATCTGCGCTAGTGTTGCTGTTGAATTTTATACTGCAAAAGTCACAATGCTTACTTAAGATAGAGAAGTTGTTACATCTGTGAGTGGATGTACAGGGGAAAGGAGAGCACATAGCACCCTCCGTTTGAGGCACCCAGGAAAGGTCACATCCCCCAGGAAAAAGGGAGAACTACTACATTCAGTAAAGGTTGGTGAAAACACACAAGTTTAACTCATTCTTGATGATAAAATGCACAGAGTTTTTTCTATGAAATCTCATCATTGATTTTTATTCTTTTTATTTTTCTGTCTCTGAAACAGAAATACCTGGAGCTCCATCTGTCTACATTTTTCATCCTGCAAGTTCTGGTCAATTTGAGATCATCTAGATGACCAAAAGGCCTAATACTATGACCAGAATTCTTATATGCCTAGGATCTTGCTACTCAACTTCATCAGGGAAATTTCTTGTTTTGTAAGTGTGTCATATGAAAATGCCAATATTCCTGAGAAAATAATATCATCTTAATAACTAATAATAATAATATCCACCCTCAAGCTGAGATTGGCTAAGAACAAGTTACAGTATGAACAAGCCCAGAGGTCAGGGAGTAAAACCCAAAATAGGGCAGCAGGGAGGGACATAGGCTCTAGAGTTCGAGGGAACAGGGTTAAGGGCACTTGAAGGGGAAATGGCAGGATTTCTAAAGCCCAGTTTCATGTAATTTATACTTCAAAACATTGATAGCAGTGTTAGAAGCCAGCACCGCTCTCACCTACAAGAGATACACGAAGAACACTTTGAAGTCCTTACAAGGAAAGATTTTAGTAAACACAAAATATGATTATCATTATACCTGTTTCCCTAAAAAGATGAGGGACTTTTTATCCAGGTGTCTATTATCCTTTTGTGTCTCTTGCATCCAGGGAGTGCACTTCTAATTCCATGTGTGTTTTGAAAGATTACAGGTGAGCCGCACTGAGCAAAAATGGCATAGGATGAGACAGAAGATATAGCAGCAGATGAGAAGAAGCCTGGAAGAAACGAGGGGCCGTCTTAGTGTGGATTCCCCCAGCAGCAGGTCCCCAAGGCAGGCAAGGAAGTGCAAGTAGTTTATTTGGGAGATATCCCAAAAGAACCTGTAGGGGAATGAGAAGAGGACAGGAAACTTTAGAAAGACAGTGATGCATAATCAAGCAGTTTCTCGAGCAGTTACTGTGAGTAAATGAGGTCAACCTGCTGGGTAACTGGGCAACAGGGAAGAATGTACCTCCAAGTCATTATACTGAGGAAGCAGGACCCTAAGATAGTGTTTCTCCAATACTCATCCATCGCCTGCGGGCTACTCCCAGGCACATGAACTGCAGACACTCCTGACCTTCCTTCTATGGACTGGGAGGCAGGGGGTCACTGGTGCTGGAGGAGCTGTGTACTGAGACAGCGAACACTGAAATGTGGCAAGGAGCGGGCACACAGAAGCTCAGAGCCACCTGAGCCCACAGATGTCATGCTAAGCCTTGCAGACACGTACACTCTCATGCACAAAGCCCTAACCCAGTGGTGGTGAACCTATGGCACACGTGCTGCAGGGGGCACACAGAGCGCTCTCTGTGAGTACTCGAGCCAAATTGTCCCAGCAGGCGAGCATCAGATTACAGCACACACAGGGGCAGTGCCGGAACTTTGTGATACATAGGTGAGTTTGGGATTGCAGTTCGGGCACTTGGTTTTTAAATTTTTATCATCACTGTCCTAGCCAATAAGTGGTTCGTATCAGTGCAGGGACTTCAAATCCATGAACAAGTCCCTATTTTTTGCACTCTGCTTGAGAATATCCTCTACTTACTTAGCTTCACCTAACACCATGACAATAACTCCTAAGTCGGCCTCTGTGGTCTTCACTCCTCTGCTGAACAAGCACACTCAACTGGATAAGATCACCTTAAACTCAGCATGCCTTACACTCTCTGCTCCGCTAAACCTATTTCTCTCATCCTAGCTCAGCTAGTAGCACCACCATTCAACTACTTAGTAAGTTAGAAATTTTGGACTCACTTTAATTCTTCACTGTTTTGTTCCTTATCAATCCATCATCAGTATCTGGACGATTTTATTCCCCAATCTCTTCTTTAGTGTATGTTTGCAATTCATAATGTTTGCTTTCATTATGAGTATTTGGTACATGTATATGACACAGCTTACTTTTTTTTTTTAATGTCCCTTTCCCCTCCTCCACCCCTCTCCATCTCTTGGTCTCCTTCCCATTTGCAAAACATCTGTCTCCATATTCCCTTATTCATCTTTTATTTTATTTTATTTTATACTTTAGGTTTTTCATATGAGAGAAACCATATTGTATTTAAGCTGTGCATCTGATTTATTTCACTTAACATTATAGTTTCAAGTTGAATCCATTTTTCTACAAATGACTCAAATTTATCATTCTTTACAGCACAGTAGTACTCCATAATGTACAAATACCACATTTTCTTTATCCATCCATTTTCTTTATTCATTTTCTTTCTGTTGATGGACATACAGGCTGCTTAAAATGTTCAGCTATTACAGATTGTGCTCACTGTAATACAATGTCTTTAACACTTTAGGGGAGAGATCTAGTAGGGGAATGGCTGGGTCAAGCAGAATTTCTAGTTTTAGTTTTTGGGGGACTCTCTGTGCGGACTCCCATTGTGGTTGAACTAGTTCACATTGTGTCTCCCAGCAGCAGAGAAGGCTCTTTCCTTCTCACATCCCCAGCAGCCTTCGTCAAGGTCCATTTCTTGGTGGTGATCATTTGTTCTGGAGTAAGATGGGATCTCACTTGTGTTGTTTTAATTTACATTTCTCTAATGGCCAGAGGTGTTGAACATTTTTTTCATGTGCTTATTGCCCATTTGTACTTCTGCAAAGTGTCTGTTCATTTCAGTTTTCCTTTTTTTTTGCTTGGGTTTTTTATTTTGAGGAGTCTAATATCTTTCAGTTCTTTATGTATCCTAGATATTAGTCTTTTATCCAAGTATAGCTGGAAAAAATTTTTCCACTCTGTAGATTATCTCTTTTCTCTGTTGTTTGTTTCCTTTGTTGTAAGAAGCTTTTTAGTTTGATATGAACCCATTTGCTGAATCTTGATGTTATTTCTTGTGCAACTGGGCTTTTTTCAGAAAATCCTTATCCATGCCTGCGACCTCAAAAGATGTACCTATTTTATAGTCTAGCGAGTAGAGTATTTCTGTTTTAACATTGAGTTCTTTGATCCATTTCGACTTTATTTTAGTAAATGGATCTAACTTCATTCTTCTGCATGTCTATAGCCAATTTTCCCAGTACCATTTATTAAAGAGGCTATTGTTCCGTCAATGTATGCTTTCGGCCCTTTGTCAAAGATCAGATAGCTGAATGTGTCTGATCTTATTTGTATATCTTCTGTTCTGCTCTACTGATCCATGTGTCTTCTTTGTGCTAGTACCATGCTGTTTTTATCAGTGAAGCTTTGTAACATAACATGAAATCCAAGATTGTTGATGCCTCCTGCTTTCCCAAGATTGCCTTTATTTTTCTGGGTCTCCTCTAGTTCTGTATACATTTTAGGATGGTTTTCTCTAGTCCTATGAGGAATGCTGTTGGTATTTTTATAGGGATTACATTAAATTAGTTTTAGTATGACCATTTTGACAATATTCATTCTGCCTATCCAGGAACAAGGATATTTGTTTATTTTCTGATGTCTTCTTTGATCTTTCTTGGAGCCTCCTACATCCATTTTCTCACCTCTCCAGCCTATCCTTGAGGATGTACTGCTAAGAGGAAGACTTCAGGATTCACCACCTTGTCCAGCTGCATTTATCTTTGCTTAAAGTCCTTCAGTGAATTTTCCTTGCTTTCAAAACAAAGTTAATACTTTTTTTGTAAAAGAGTCTTGCTATGTAGCCTACTCTGGCCTCAAACTCACAGTGATCTTCCTGCCTCAGCCTTCCGAGTCTGGCCACACTTCTTCATAACTATGGAAGGCTCCTGAACATCTCATTCCAATCTACTGCCTCATCTTCTCTTCTATGCCTCCACTGAGCCAAGATTCTTAATTAAAAGTAATATAAATAAAATAATATAAATATAATTTAAAAAATCAAAAGGGAGTGGAGATGTAGCTCAGGGCAAAGGCCCTGGCTTCAATACCCTGTACCAGAAAAAAAAAAAAAAAAAAGCACACTGGAAAACTCTACACATCTCTGGGAAGGGTCAAGAACCTCAGAAGACAGGTAGAAAAAAAGAGAGGTCAGGCAGTCAGAACTGTAGTCAACAATATCGACACCAACCAGTCCACAAAGAACAGCCAATACTTCCAGCAAACATCACACACTGTAGCTGGCACCCAAGACAACCCTGGGTGCTAGACACTGGTTTTAATTCTTCCATCACTTCCTCACTCATAATCTGGAGGTTACTATCATTGCTACCACCTTACAAATAAATTCTTTTTAGTGGCTTTCTCGTATGTATCACTTGGTCCAGATTCAGGGCTATCAGAGAGAGTGTGACTCATTGGATGCCATGTGAAGCCACATTACTGAGGTGAAGCCACATTGCTGAGCCCTGACTGCTGTACTCAAAACACCAAAGAGGTTGCTCTTCCAGCCTTGTAGTGTATTTTGGGCTCAACTTTCTATCAATGTTCATAAGAAAACAAAAAAAATGGATTTATCTGCTAGGTACCTACTAACAAATAATGATTGTCCATGAAAATACTTTTCATTCTTAAACTCCAAAAACAAAAACAGCCCTGAGATAGTAGGCTCATCACATATTTGAGACTAGCCTGAGCTACATATTGCTTTGAAAGCCAGGCTGAAACTCATAGTGAGACCTTATCTCAAAAAATAAAGCCTAACAAAAAACCCCCAAAAGAACAAAAGAAAAGTAGTGTCTCTAATATAATGTGCCTGTATCCCCATGTATTTATTTATCTATCTAAAAATACATTCAGCCTCTCTATGAAGGGGACTGCTTAAAGTCTCATTAACATTGACTATAATATTGGTATACCCAATTACAAAGTGTTCAATCTTCACAACTTTATGGACACATTCCTTTCCAAAACCTCTAAACCTCAAAGATAAGATGTATAAAATTATCAAGTTGGTCACTGGATGCAACACTGAAAAACACTGCTCCCAATTCCATCTCTTAGTTTCCTGGCCTGTATCTTCAGACTATGGGAGAAGGATTCCAGTCCAGTGATTTTCATGTGATATGCCACGGCTACAACTTTAGGGGTCTGAAGAGGTCACAAGACATAGAATGTGAATAAAGATAACTATGGAGCAGCAAGAATTCTGACACTGCAGAACAGTTGACCCTTGAGTGCTGGCGTGGCCCCTTCCTCAGAGAGATGCTCCACTCTTAATCTTGACCCAAGCTTCTGGGGTCCATTATTAATCCTGGATCATACAGAAGTAGGCCAAAATGAAATTTTCCTTAAACTGAGTCCTGGTTGTCATTCTTGCCCATATTTGAGCCCAAGTAGAATGTAGGTCATAACTAGCTAGCTAATTCACGACACATTTCACATCCTGTTGGGTCTCACCCAACCCCACAAGGTGGTATGTGCAATCTGTTGTGTGAATAATAAGGTACATAATGAGACCAAATCAACTTAACAACTGTAACAGGAACCAAGAGCTGCATTATCCCGAACAGAGACGTCCCCAGTAACAGCAGTCATAGTTGAAGGCAAAACCTGCCTAAGCTTGCAATATTCCTCTGCCTTTTTACAAAACCCATCCATATATGTGCAAGCCAGACAGGCAAGATGAAGATATCTATGCATCATTCAAGTTTCCTCAGGATGCAGTTTCTCTTTCATCCATTATTTACTATTGCTGTCCTACTTTTAATGAAATATTTTCTGACCCTTAACATCAAAACCAGCATGGGAACTCTTCCTGATGTTAAAAATACCTACTCAAGTGATTTATACATGATCTGGGACAATAACCTGGGTATGATTTACAGTCCAAGTGGACCTAACATTAGGCATATTCAGAGCCAGCTCTAGTTTTCGTCTGAAACCAACAAGATTTAACTCTAACTAATATTCCACGATGAGATCACAAGTCCCACAAACTGCTGTTAGCTCAAAGTCTGTGTCCAAAGAAACTTGGTATAATCACTTTCCCTCATTCTTAATTGCTCAGTAAGTGGCCAAAGCATCCTTTATGGAGATGGTAGTTATGACCTAAATTTAATTTTCTTTTTTTTCTTTTCAGTATCCACCTTCAAGATCACCAGTCCCTTCTTTACTCCAGGGATTCTGGATCAAGAAACTGGGTAAGGCAGAGTGATCTCAATTACAGGGGCCATGTCAAATCATTCCTTATCTATTCATTTGATGTAGTTTTCTCTGTTGTATAATCAAGCAGAATATTAGTGAATGCCTACCTTGGGATCATAAATTATCCATGCTGAGGAACATTCTGATGACCATGTCTCCTAGAGGTTAAGTGACTTTATTGACCTTTGCACTCAAGAGACACTTCCATTCTCACTAAAACACAGAAATTCATATTAAATATAGAATCTCCCACTAACATTCATAACCCAGAAAAAATGTCATCAAAGACATGTTTATTGAGGCTCTGGTGAAGTGGGCAACTTCGGGGTTTCTTAGGAAAGTTGAGTGTTAAATCCATTCCAACAGGGGGCTGGGGATTTAGCTCAGCGGCAAAAGCGCTTGCCTGGCAAGCGCAAGGTTGTGAGTTCGGTTCCTGGTACCGAAGAAAAACCAAAAAAAAAAAAAAAAAAAAAAAATCCATTCCAACAGTCCTAATATTCCTAAATATTAAGGTTCCTTCCACCGCACTCTACCAAGGAATTTGTGACATCTCCATTTTATCCAAAATTGTTAAATACAAGTCTTAGTCACCCAAGTGAGCTATCAATAAATATTCGCCCAGCTGTTCAAGCTAGCAAGCCAAATTTTGACTCTCTCATCATCTTAAGACATTTATGTCGATTTTTTTGCTTTTATTTTATTTTATTGGTACATTTTAGATATACATAGTGATAACATTCATCATACAGAATTTGTACCTGTACATGATATGTCTTGCTTCTTTTTTCCCATTCCCCTCTCTTCCTTTCAACCTCTTTTCCCCTTCTTATTTACAAAAGTTTTGTTTCCATTTTTTTCCTTCTATTCTTTTTTCCTTCTCCTTTCTTTCCTATCCCCCCTTGTTCCCCTTCTCATTTGAACATTTTCTCGCCATTTCCCAATATCTATTATACATTTTGATCCTTATTTACACTTTTGATCCTTATCTTAGCACTTAATACTTTTAAGATATCATGCGATATTTACACATGTATACAGACATTTAAGTTAATTTAAAATGATACTCTTCTCTCCTTAATTTAGCCCATCAGAATCCATGCCCATACATATCCACACAGATCTGGGCTAACATATTTAGCAAAAAAATTATTTCATAAAATTCTCCTGAGTATGACTATTTTGCCTGTGGACCATGCTGGGATCCAACTCTGGTTACATCTGAAGATGAGACTGAGAATGTTCAGGGTGGTTAGACCATAAGTAATACCTCTAAGGAAAAGGAGTAGTAAATGAGGGGCTAGGAGAATGAGTGGTAACCCCTGAGGTGAGTTCACCCCTTGGGTAGGAGAGTTTTATGTCCTAAGAAGAAGCAGGCTTACCAGAACATGGAAAAGAAATTTCTTTAGTGGAATGTTTTTGAATGTTGCTATCATAAATTACTAAACCTTGGTTGCTTAAAACAACACAGATTTTTTTATTTCATAGTTTTGTAGTATAAAAACCCAACATGGGTCTCACTGAACTAAAATCGGGGTCAGCAGGATGGCATTCTTTTTTGTCACTCCTTGGGAAAATCTATTTCCTTATATTCTGTAGCCTCTAGAGGCCATCCATATCTCATACCTAAGAGCTTCCTTTCTCCAGAGGGGAAGTGCACAGTTCTGCATCTCTGTTTGACCTTTCTTCCATGGTCATATCTCCCTCTGACTGTGGCTGGTAAAGACTCCTCACTTTTAAGGACTAATGTAATTAGATTGGGCCTACCTGAGAGATCAGGGTGAGCTCTCCATTCAGGGTACTTCATCAACCTTATTCACATTTGCAACTTTACTTTAACTAAGGTAACAGGGATTAGGACATGGACAACTTTGAGTTATTATTCTACTACCACACTGGCACATGGAACACAGTTGATGTTAGTGTGCTACCTATCCTGAACTCCCTTTTCAGTTCTCTGGATCCTGGTAATTCCAAATAGACATCTTTACTATCACATTTTAAAGACTGGATGTGGAAAGGTTGCAAACTTAACTGCTGTAGTTTGGCAACACATATCAAGACTCTCATCTGTGGCAACCCCGTACAGCTCTATAGTGTTAAGAGATGAGAAATTAGCACAACCAGAGAATTTCTCTCCATTTGTGGCTGTGGTTCTAGGCCAATAATTCAGGGATCTGAGCTTTACACTCTTTCTTGAAGCACTAGAAGGGATCCTCTAATCCCATGACTTTTGAATTTCTCAAGCCCTTCATCTTGGTCTATGGCAGTGACTTTCAAGTTATGATAAGCCATTATTTTATTAATTATGCTCTATTTTACTGAAATATAGTTTAACATCCCCCCAGATCTAGCTGGATTGCTCATTACTTTTAGCCCAAACAAGACCCAAATTTCTCTACACTAATTTTCAAAACATAAATAAATAAATAAAAAACCAAAATTAATGCCAAAAAATCCATCATGAACAAACCATAAAATTTTAAATAAAACAAGACCTAAACCTCAAAAAAAAGGAAAAAAAGTCCTTGCCGATGCCTGTGATTTCAAGAGCTCTACATATTTTACCTCCCAACAGATCAAGTGTTTTGACTTTAAAATTTAGATCATTGATCTATTTTGATTTTAGTTTTGTATGTAGTGGAGAGATACGGGTCTAACTTCAATCTTCTGCATGTGAACAGCCAGTTTTCCCAGTACCACTTGTTAAAGATGCTATCTTTCCTTCAGAGTATATTTTTGGCCCCTTTGTCAAAAAGCAGATAGTTGCAAGTACCTGCTTTTCAACAAAGAGACCAAAAATATACTCTGAAGGAAAGACAGCATCTTTTAAAGTCAAAACACTTAATCTGCTGGGAGGGAAAATATGTAAAACTCTTGAAAATTTTATAGTTTGTTCATGATGGATATTGGGGCATTAATTTGGTTTTTTATTTTAAAGAAATTACAAAGCTTCAGTGCAGAAAAGGAAATAACCAACAGAGTGAAGAGACTATCTACAGAATGGGAAAAATTTTCACCAGCTATTCCTTAGACAGAGGACTAACATCTAAATACATAAAAGAACTCAAAAATATTAGACTCACAAATATAAAAGACCCAGTCAAAAAAATGAGCCATTGAAATGAAGAGGCATAGAAGTACAAATGGCCAATAAATACATGAGAAAAAATCATTGTGTACTGCAAAGATGCACTAATGAAAATTTTTAAAAAGAATAGACAAGTAACACCAAATGTGGTGCTGCACACCTACAATCCCATGAGGCTGAGACAGGAGAAATGCTGTGAATTTTGATGCCAGCACAGCCTAGGTAATGAGTCCAAGGCCAACGTGAACTACATGATGAGATCCTGTCTCAAAACACAACAAAAAAAGCAATTAAGGAGCTGACTTCTTTGGATTATCAGTGAAGTGTTCATACTTCTGAATGGATTTCTTATTGCACCATAATCTAATAACATATATGTTTATCTTCCCTAATATATTGTCACTAAGGGCAGATGCTATGTCTCACCCTGGGGTCTCCTGAAGCCACTACAGTACCTGGCACCCAGGAAGCTCTCAATAAGTGTAAAATAAGTGAAATAGCCAAGGGGTAAATTAACGCCAGGATTTTCTTATGACCTTTAAAAAATAATTGGCCAGAGACATGAGGAATTGAGTAGAGGAAGAGGAGTGGGATACATAGGGAGAGGGCATATCATTGCTGTAGAGAACAGGGAAAGAAAGTAAGCAAGGCAAAGTAAAAACAAACAAACAAACGAACAAGAAAGTAAGTGTCTACTGAACTCAGACAACGTGTTATGTGTTAACACAGCTCTAAACGCCAAACTACTCAAAACCTAAAAGAAATGATCATATACATAGTTAGTAACAGCCCATAACACCAAGATTATGCACCTGGGGACCCTTAATGCCCAGTGCCCTTGGATTATTTTCTTGAATCAAAGGTTGCATTGTGTAGTTTCCCACGCTGATATTTTCAATGGCTCACCAACACCAGCGAATAAATCCATGCTCCTTTCTTCAACATGCAAGGCCAAGATAATAAATCTTCCCAGATGGAGAGCTGAAACTCTTCTTTAAAAATGCCTTGTTGCTCTCTCTGTAGTTTTAGGAAAGCTACTTTCCTTTCCTAACTCTAAAAAAGATTTTTCTTGTCTCTTCAGCTATAAAACTCATCATCCTCAGGACCCCAGGTAAGATTTTCTTTCCTTATCTAAACTTTACAGCCATACTTTGCCTTAGAATTCCTATAGAAGTTATCTCCAGGACTGCCCATTTTGCCCTGAACTGTATGACCCTCAGCACTGTGAAGTCGCTCTGTGTTGGGTCGTGCATGTTATCACCACATTACAATCAGAAAATCCAAGTACAAGAGCATGACTTATTCTTGCTTGTATTCTCATGTTTTGCTGTTATAAATAAATGAAGTATAAACGTAATTATGTTCATATACAATGATACCTTGGTTTTCTAATTCAATTCATTCCAAATTTGTGTTCAAACACTGAAAATTCCAAGAACTAAACACATTTTTCCATAAGAAATAATGGAAAACCAAATAACTGGTCCTGAAGACCAAAAATTACACTTATAAATTCATTTTTCCAGGACTTTAACACAAAGTTAACAGCCCTAGGTTATGAAAATACCCCCTAAAACATTTAACACAATAAATATAGTATATCAGATATCAAAACACAATACGGTAAATCATTTTTTCAAATTTTTGCACAGGTGCTCTACCTTAAGTTGGAGCCTTCCCAGCACACTGGAAGCTGGAAAGAAATTGCAGGAGGATGAGAAGCATTATTTTTTGGAAGGAGAGTCTCCTTCCATAATGCCTGCAGGAAGTGCACTTTCTGGGCTCCTTTCTCTTGCTCTTTTTTCACCTTTTCTCACTAAAAATTTGTCTGGATGACAGTGGCACTTAGGCTGAAGCATCCCAATGTGTGACTCAGTTTTGGCCCATACAGGTTTGTACAAGTCGGATTTTTGGTTCAACTATCGAGCAAAGTTATAAACACCAATTTTTTGCCTACTTTTTGAAATTTTCTGTTGTAGTAGTGGCAAATTTGAGCTTGGAGCCATCTGATAACCAGGCTATCACTGTATATAAGAAAAAGTAAAAAATAGTCTTCAGGTAGGGAGCTCATTAAACCTGCCTGTAGTCAGGTGTGGTGGCACACACTTGTAATCCTATCACTTGGGAGGCTGAGGCAGGAGGATTGTTGTGAGTTTGAGACCAGCCTGGGCTACCAAGTGAGCTCAAGGCCAGCCTGAACTACATAGCGAGACCGTGTCTCAAAAAGATAAAAGAAAAAAAAAAAACTATCTATAAAACTACAATACCTACAGATCACATAGTCTGAGAAATTATGCAGTCTCCCAATCTGGGCTGAAAGTCAAACTACCCCAGAAGAACTTTTGCAGAAGCTCAGCAAACCTCCCATTGCATTACCTATGTAGCTGGAGCTAGGGATATGCTCAGTGTTAGATAGATAGAAGATAGATTAGATGATAGATGATAGAAGATAGATAGATAGATAGATAGATAGATAGAATGTTAGACTGGTTAGAACTAAATATATATCTATATGTATATATATATATATATATATATATAATTTATTAGATTGGGTTACACAATCAGAAGCCAGATGGTCCACAATGACTCTCTGCCACCTGGTGAGACAGGAACACCAGTAGCTGCTGGAAATATCAGAATAAGAGAGATTGATAATGCATCTCTGGTCTGAGACTGACTGCCACAATGTCCCTGGAGAGTTGCTGGTGGAAGTCCTGCTGAAGATTCTTCAGCCTGATGTCCAATGGCAACAGCCACAACAAACCTGCACCCATACAAGTAAGATCAGGTAAGCCTTCCTTATCTGCCTTTCCCTTCCATCTGGGCCCCAGACTGGTGCATGGTGCCATCCATGTAGAGGGCAGGTCTTCCTCAGAGTTCACTGACCAACGTGCCCATCATCTCTGGAAACACCCTCACAGACACACCCAGGAGGGTGCTTTCCAGTGTTCCAGGCATCTCTCAGTTTAGCCAAGTTGACACCCAAGACTAACCACCAGTCAATAAGTAGGTAGAAGAAGAGAGAAACAAAAGTGAGGCCTGGTAAAGACAGAGGAAGATGAATGCTGGATAAGTCATGCAAACCCCTTCCCCAAACACAACTGATTCTTCGAACACTTAAGTTTGAGTGCTCATGAATTCAGTTCTAAACCTGAGGGACAAACTTCTATTTTGTGGCTTAAAATATACTGTTTGTGTTGAGTAAAATATTTATTTACTAACTGTAAAACCAAAATTTATAATGAAATAGCCACTCCTGCTTTTCAACCCAAAAGTCTTACAATAAACTGTGTCTGAGAGACCACTGTCCATCCTCCAAAACCTTCTTAATAAAAGTAATTCCAACAAGCTTGATACTTTACAAGTTTAGCAAGTCTGATTTTCCCACCACCAAATTTTAGTGACAAAGAAATTGGTGCTGATCTGGTAAGGGATTTGCCTAGCAGCCCATGACTAATAACTCCTAGCAAAGTTAGAGTCCAGACCTTGACAGAAGAAGATATGGAATAGAAAGAAATGTACTTTGGAGTCCATCTGACCTGGGTTCAAATCCAGTTCTGCACTTAAACTGTGCAGTCTTCAAAAGTTAGTTAACTTTATAGAAGGGAATTGCACACAGAGGTCTTCCACATAGTGACAGGGAGAAGCCTGAGCATGTGCACAAATTTCCTGGTGTTCAGTGGGACCGGCTTGAACGGCAGATTCCATCCCGACCTTGTGCTTCTTTGCAGAATAACGTCAGAATCACGTCAGCTCGTCGCAGAAGGATCACAGAGAGGTCACCTGCAGGGGCCTTCACGACAGGACTGCAAGAGAAGTGCACCTAACCTGGCTGCCATAAACAGCCAAAAGCAAGACCACTGCCTCTCTATGAGTTCCTACTGGTCTCTCCTCTAGCAGGGACAAAATTGAAGGGAGCTTTTGGTTTGGGCTTACTTAATAACTTAACAGGGCTATAGAAGGACTTCAAGATGATTCTCATAAAAGCTGTTTTCCTTGTGATTAAGTTGTATTTGCCTGTTAACTATGTGGCAAACAAACCCTCAGCTCCTGCCTTCTGGTTATAGCCTGGCCCTGTGTTAATTGGGACTTAGAGTAGTGGGCTGGCAAGGCCTTTGGACAGGAGGCCAAGAAGCCCCATTTGGTTATCAGTTGTTGACATGAGCGGGGCCATATGTGGCTGTGCGGTGTGTCCGGCAGGTTGAGCTGGGGTTTCCCAGCTATGAAAGGCCTGCTGTCTGGAACACTTGGCCTGGAGTCAAATAAGGACTTGCGATCAGGCCTCTGGCTGCCACTGGCTCTGCGAGCAGCCTCCCACGTGGGCAGGGCGGAGACAAACCAAACACGCCGGGTCTCATGCGTGGTTCAGGGCTGAGGAGCGGAGGTGAGGAATGAAAGAGGCTGCACCTGGTGCTAGTCTGCCCTCCTTCACAGCCACCACGGCACCAGACAGAGAGAGAGCCCTTTTCTCTGAACGAGGCAGGAGAAGCACTGAAACCCGCTCTTTCTGTGTCACTTATCAGAGCTGAACTCAGATACATTCAATCCCTGAAAGACAGCTGCCAGAGGATCAAATGCGTGGGAGAGGCTTGCTGGGAAATTCCTCCCAGCCAGTGGATACACGACTTGGGAAAGAATTGGGGCCATTCCCAGTGTAACTCGCTACCCCTCCCCCAGGTAATCACTGTCAGAAATGATTTACCTTAAATATTTTTTAATTATTTAAGCCAATGGGGTAGTATGTGTGTGTGTTACAGAGAGAGGCAGGAGTATGTGTGTGTTTTCAATCATCTGCGGTCAAGTCTGAGTTCACAAGAGCCTTTGAGTTCAGTAGAGCCCAACCACCAAACCCACACCGAAATACTCTGTAGATAACTGAAGACCATTGCCGGGGTATGCTCGCAAGGACACAGACCAGCCTTGTGGCCCTGTGGTAAGGACCCTCAAGGGGAGGCAGGGTGAGAGGGCCTCACAACAAGACCTACAGCAAGTCACTGGAGAAAGCTGACTCTGAGAGAGTGTTCGGAGAAAAGTCCACAAAAATAGTTTGCTCTTCTTGGTAAACGAATGTAATGAAGCATATAATGGGTACTGTTATGCAGTGCTGTGAACATGGTTAGCATTATTATTAGGTTTAGAGTTGTGAAAACTTCAAATTAAATGCTCATGAGCCTGAAAACCATCATCCCAAGATGTATGATTCATTCTGAGTGGCAAGAGTATGAGTGAGCATTACTTTCTCCTTGAACATTACACGGTGTAGACATTTCCACCAATCAGGGGATAATCTTAAATGCCTACAGTTTGCATAAATGAGCCCAGGTAGGTCTACTTGAAAATAGGTCTAGCTTCTGTTTTCAAAATGCTTTTATTCCTAATGAGATAAGATGGATAACAACAATTCCAAGCATCTGATTGTGTGTGATTTTTGTGTTTCCTTCATGATGTTCACTTTCTTTTCTTTTTTAGGACATTTGAAACATAAAGAGCAAAAAGCAATATGCACACTAGGAACGGTTGAAAGTAGAGAAGATATTGAAGTCTGGAATGCTATGGAGAGGGGACATAAGAACCAGATAGCACCCATTCAGCCTTAATGCATGGTTTCCTTTGAGAAGCATGGAAGGTTCCAGTCAGGCAGCGGAAGAGGCTGGCGGGTCATACTCATGTGTGTAAAAGTGTAGACCATAAAGATGATGTACCCCCACTGAGGGCAGGCCTCTGCTCTCTGGTGAAGCCCTGTGTCTAGCATAGTGTTTGGGGCATGGAACATGCTCAATAAATAACTTTTAAATAATGCATGAACCCATTTCCTTTGAAACCTAAAGATAAAGGGAATGACTTTCTAATAACAAATTTTAAGACTTGGATGAAGAGGGTAGGAAATAATCCTTCCTGTGAAGAATTTGAAACATTATTAAAGATATCAATTTAAACTGTGGAATTTCTGACTCCTGGAGCTTTATAAGAAAAAAGACTATGTAAATTACTTGCTATGATAGTGACAATAAAGTTAGAAAGTCCTACATATCAGTCAAAGCAGTTTTTATATTCCCTTTCTTGCTCCCATTTTGGTTTAAAAGAGGTACTAAGGTTATCCTGGCTTTTGCCAATGACTAAAGCACTGGATGGCCCATTGCAAATTGTTTATACTCATAGTCCATACTTTACAAATGGCTCCAAGTTGAATCTTTATGTTAATGAACTTGGAAGAATACACTCCAAGCAGAGAGGATCATGCAAATCTCTTTATTCACTAGAATACACAAAAGCTAAGCTGTCAAAATATGACTGAAAAGCTTAAGATAAATGCACCTGATCCCATGACCTCCAAGACCATGGGACACAGAAGGACATTTCACAGGGCCTCACTGATGCATTTCTTACTACTTGCAAGGTCTTGCCTGAGCAGTTCAATTCTGTGGGGACTTCTACAATGGGCATGAGACCACTACTATGTCTTTCATAAGACCCCAGGACCTCACTTTGAAGTGACGACTCATAGAGTGTATTCTGTCAGCCCAAGTAGACCATAAAAATAGTAAGAATGGTTTAAGCATTAAAGGCTTTTACTATCTTCTCACTTCCTGTCATGAAGCATTGCATTAAGTTGTACTTTAAAGGGCATTGCATTAAGTTGTACTTTAATGACTTGCCTGCTATGTCTCACAAGAGAGCATTGCATTAAGTTGTACTTTAATGACTTGCCTGCTATGTCTCACAAGAAACTCATTATTATAAATACTCTACAAGCATTGATATTAACACTAAGGTTAAGTTGAAAAATTGCAAGTGCTCAAAAAATGTTCATTGAACTGAATCACAGTGTGTTAGATGTAAAAAACATGACGATGTTGGGATGAAAATTCGGTTAAACTTGTTTTTATCCAGAAGTGGTCAAACTTTTGCAGAACTATTTTTCTAACATCACGGAGCTATTGCAGCCACCAACAGAATGGCACAGATCCCTTGCTTGGGCCTCATACCTCAGTAGGGCGAGACACTCTTTTCCAGCTGCTTGTAACCCAAGATAATTATCTCCTCTCTTTTAGGTCATTTAGTTGAAAATATTGACTAAATCACCCTTTCAGTGTCATTGTCTTTTTAAAAAGCCAACAAGAAGTCCTCAGTGGTAGAGTTCTTGCCTAGTATGTACAAAGGCTTGGGTTCATCACTGAAAAAAAAACCCAACAAGAAAAACTAAAATCACCTTCTCTTTTGGTCATAAGTAAGACCTACAATTTGCTACCTGAATAGTATCCCAACCATCAATCAACTTTGGCCCTTTGCTGAATTTTTTCTCTCATTTTCAGCCATATTATCTTAATTTCTGCCTTCTTAGAAGGAGAGCTTAGGGCCCCATTTTCAGATGTATTGGCAATACTACTGTTATTTTAGTGCCAGCTTCATTCAGTCCTTGCTCAGATCCAGTGTTTGTCTTTCATATTCCCTTTCACATTCAGTTTCCTGTTCTGGAAAATGAGGATGATACTACCAACCACTTAAGCTACATGACGTTCCACAGTAACTTGCCAGTGCCAAGGCTTTTGAAAGCAGCTATATATAGTCTGCATGTATTACAATTTTCAAGCCCTATCTTTGGCAGCATTCCAAAGCATTCCAGTATTCCTGATTGCATTGTAAAAAGAAACGCCTGAAATTCCTACATTTAATCGGTGAGGTTTAGGGAAAAAATCGGGTACATATATGTTCCTTTTAAATTCATATTGAATTATGAAGGAAAGATATTTAAAAGGACTCCCAGAAGGCAGCAATGTCTCTGAAGTTAATTTCGCTAATAAATTTTCCAAACACCAGAAATTCACACTAACTGCACATTATTTATTCAAAAGCGCTCTCATGGTGACATTTGAGAACTGATGACTTTAGGAAAACATTGGATTTGTACTGATTCCACCTTACAAATATTGCTGTAATTTTCCTTTTCCTGAGAAATCAAAAACTATCTGTTTGACATAAATCTTCTCTGGGGCCTAAAGTTTCTGGGAAATCTGTCAGTGTTGTGCCAGAGTCTTGGTTTAATTGCAGTGACAATACACAAGCTATTGTGAGTGGTTTGCCCCTCAAGACTGAAATATGGTTGTTATTTTAGATGGGTGTCTGGCTAGGATGATTACCATTATTTGATCTCCAAAGAGAAAGATCTAGGAAAACACACTTTGATTGTTCTCTCACTCTCAAATGCTAAAGAGCTCACTCCTGAAGCTATGGGTCATAAATCACTCTAACTGTGCCACAAATTTGGGATGTATAACCCTGAGTCCTCACAGGAGCTTGTAAGGAATTAACCTTTTTCTCCACCTTTAAAAATGGCATGGTTATCTCAGGGATTCTTCCTAGAAAAAAACTGTTCAAACTCCAGTAGGAGAAAAGGAAGACAAGGAAAAAAAAGAAAAAAAGAAAAAGAAAATTACTCTCTTCCTAGAAAGACTTATTCCACTTCAAGAATCCAAGACCAAAATACCCTATGGAAACCATTTGAAGAGAGTCCTAATTAGAGAATTCAGGTGAGTTTTTAGTGGCAATACACTCACTTCTAGTGTGTACACAGCCAGTACAGCCAGGCACATTGTAATAAAAGTAACTTGCCAGTAGCACTGGCATTTCCCAAGGAGAATTTTACCTGAAAGATCTCAGAAAGGCAAAGCCAACTTCCATTAACTTCTCCAACCCTATAAAATTATCACCTGAGTGGACATCTATTTATTTGTTTGCTTTGTTTTGCCTTCCAACATTTCTTCCCCTTTCTTTTGACTATGAATGTCCAAGCAAAGCACAAGTGATCCCAGTTTGGATAATCAGAGTCTCTTTTCTTGGTATTGCATTCGTCATTGACGTGACAAAAGAGCAGCAAGGATTGGATGTAATCCCTTCAAAGCGCTGAGCCAAGAAGCTGCCCAGTAGCTGGCTAGTTAAAATCCTTGGAACTTTCCTGGTCTTTGCCCTTACTGAGACCTGGATGCTCAGCTTGTCCTTGAATTTTGTGAGGTTATGTAAATCAGAGACAATTTCTTTTGTTGCTAGTAAAGAAGTTAGTCGGCTATATAGGGTACATCTCCATATATATGTATACATGTATTTGAGAGAAAGAGAGAGAGAGAGAGGCTGAGACAGACAGACAAAGAGACAGAGGGAATATCCCAATGGATAGAACACCACTCAGACCATCACAAAAATATAGCCATCTTTAAAAGTCTATAAAGGGAGGCCAGTTCCAAGTTGGAAGAGCAAAGATATTTCCAATCTCTTCTTAAAAATCATCTTTAAACAATAAAAATAGGAAATAGGAACAATACCCTGTATTTTTATAAAAATTAAAATCAAAATGTTAGAGATGAACTAGGTGTAGTGGCACACGTCTATAATCCCAGCAAGCAGAAGTAAACAAAATGATGTACAACAAGAAAAGTAATCATAGTCTGTGCTGCTTGACCCAGTGGAACAATACATAGCAACAGAAAGACTGAATGTCATGTCTGAGCAGAAATTGAGTATGGTACATACCATGTTTAAAATTACAGTCAAAAGACTGAAATACAAGGTGAATGGCAAAAGATCCATATCTACAAAGCAAATCATTGCTTCAGGGGGTTGAGATGGGGGTAGAGATGGAAAACAAGCATCTATTATTTTCTGTGATGAGATTTTCACATTTTTTGGACTTGTAAGATTGCATAGTAATAATACTTTGATAAAAATCTAAATTGACTTTCTCATCCATCAGAATAATTTGGAAGATTAATAATATCATGAGACACAAATATATTTTTATAAAGGGTCAATTGTACAGGGCAGCTATAAATTGGAGGATTGTAGCTATATTCCAGAATTCTCAGATTCCATGCCTATGATATTATAATGAACAATGTTCTTGAAGAATTTTGTACTGACAGACACCTTTTTAAAATATTTAGCTAATGGGTTCTGTATAAAATAATTTTGAAATTCAAATTCTTATTTTAAAGCTAAAATCATCATACTGTATGATAAATAAAAGGCTGTATTGATTATATTAAGGGACAAAATGACAATATCATTGTCATTTATTGACAATATATTTGTACATATTTCACTAACATTAGGATTTTAAATTACTTCATAAAAATGTCATTGAAACTAAAAGTGTAATGCACTCAAATATAACACTTGTAAACTAATATCACCTCTAGTAAAAGGTATATAAATGTAAATGTTAAGTCACATTATATCCTAAAATAAAGTACTAACAAGTAATATTCCAAAAACTTGCTGGGCGTGGTGATACACAACTGTAATCACAGCACTGGGGAAGCAGGAAGACCGTGAGTATGAGGCCAACCTGGGCCACATAAGTTTAAGTCTAGCCTGGACAACGTAGTAAAAACTAAAATAAATTCACATTCAGAAATAAAGTCACGAATATGAGAATAAAATCATTTCGTGCATAGTAAAAATTTACTAAGAAACTAGTATTATGGAATTTTTTTAATTGCTATCTTTTGTAAAAAGCAAAATCTGTCATTTTTAAGTTATACATAAAAGTTCACATGAATATTCCAAATGCTGGAAAAATTTCTTTTTTGTTGTTTTTTTGTTT